CAAAGTCGATTTTTTCCTCTGTGTTGTGACAGGTGACGAAAGCTGGTTTCACCATTTCGAGCCTGAAACAAAACAGCAGAGTATGGAATGGCACCATTTGCATTCTCCATCAAAAAAAGAAGGCAAAGATAGTGCCATCAGCTGTGAAGGTGATGGGCACAGTCTTCTGGGATGCAAGGGGTTTATTCTGGTTGAATTCCTGGAACCTGGGCAAACCATCAATGATGCTCGTTATGTCCAGACGCTGCACAAGTTCTGTTGTGCATTGCGCGATAAACGTCCAGGACGAAACATCATCCTGCATGACAACGCTCGCCCCCATGCCGCTTGCCTCACATTGGAAGCAATCGCAGAGATGGGGTGCTAAGTTCTTCCACAACCCTCCTATAGCCCTGATCTGGCATCCTCTGACTACCATCTTTCCGGCAGCTGCATGGATAATGTTTTGAACAAGGGAGGCAATTCAGAAAGCAGTGTGTCAGTGTCTTCGGATGGCTGGAACGGAATTTTACAGCAGGGGAATTTTCAAACTCCCAGAACACTGGGAGAAATGTGTACAAAGAAGTGGCGATTATGTGGAAAAATAAAGAAAGGTCTGTAGATTGAGGTGGTGTATTTGGTTTGCCAATAATAAAGCATGTTACTTTACAAAATATTGTTGCTCATGACTTTCAGTACGACCCTCATATAAGACACACAAGATGAGATGTTGGTGTAAGTGAATCTGAAAGTAAACATTAGGGGTCACTCCTCAGCATGTAACCTAACTTTGCTATTAGTCAGAGCTCCTGAATTAGCTGCGACACTCGCATCATTTAATGTATATGTACACATTACATTAATTCATAATGTTAAGAGAGTGTATCTTGTGACAGGACTAATTCTACTGGTGTTATCTGAACTTAATCATTTGATTGCTTTCTAGATCTTCCTTTAACTATTTATACAGTGGGATTTTTTGTAAATACATTTTTATATGTTCTTTAAGAAATATCATGAAATAAACATATAACACAGAAATCATAATGTTGTATTTTAGCGTCCTGTTGCACTGACTTTCATCCATGATATGTATGTAATGGCTGTCTTGTAGTGCACTCAATTTCATGTCACTTCTTCCTACATGTTTTGGCAACATAGTGCCATCTTCAGGTTCGTTATTTACGCTAAGCTATTACATTGTTTGCTCGCAGCCAAAAAGGAAGGACACATCACAGACACAGTACACACAGAAATGACTCCCATAGTGGATGAACCATACTATACGCGAGTTTGAATTAAGACATATAGATGAATAATCTTAACAAGTTTTAGTATATACAAGTTTTATTATAGTTGACGAATAATGTACTTTCTAAATAATTTTATGAAAGACACAAGATGGCAAACAATGTAATAGCTTAGCGTAAATAACGAACCTGAAGATGGCACTACGAGTATGTTGCCGAAACATGTAGTAAGAAGTGACATATGAAATTGAATGCACTACAAGATGGCCATTACATACATATCATGGACAGAAATTATGTCTATCAATATATTTCATCTGCAAACTTAACCAGGTTTCAATAAAAAACGGTGATCTAAAAGAAATTAATGAATGAAATACATCTGCTATAAATGGATATCAAGGTCTCAAAGGAATGGAAATTCATCAAACACACATTTGGAAAATTGTACTCCCGTCCAATGATATTGTATATATATTCTTTAAATTTCTGGTAACTTGAAAGCTGCTACCCTAATACAGTGGAATGAATATTGAGTTTTCTTCCACTGAGGTCACTAATCACAGATATTCAGGGCAGAGGATATCATTTTCAAGATGACATATCTCATATGTATCACAGAAGTGTTAATCCTTTAAAGACTGAATTCCTTCTAACTAATATATAAGAATGCAGTTTGTACCTCACAGGAAGCATTACGTCTCCGCTACAAAGCCCAAGCCAATTAATGCTGTTCAGGAAAACAGTCGTGGTTTATTGTGAGAACTATATGGAACATAAAAATGCACTCTGTGGGCAGAATGTAGAGTTTTAGTGTATTAAATCAGTTGATAAGTATAGTAATCACTCAGTTCTGAAGGGATAATAAAAAACTGCAAATACATGTTCTTATTGACCGTTTTACACAAGATAAATTTAATTATATATTTTGAGTTTCCACATTATATACACATACCCTCCTTCCAACATATTACTGTTGTCATATTGCATCATATGGTCACTGTCAGAACCAAATTCTACGTAAGTGTTGGTTTTTAGTTTTGTATGGATCCAGAATCTGAAAAAGCTGAAATTTACAAGTATTTGACAATAGATACCTCATTTCCAAAGCATCTGTTATCATTAAACATATAATTTCCCTGATATTTCTAGCCTTCAATTCATTCCACAAATGAACTTCTCCGTGAATCTGCATGTGTTTCATAAATATACAGCACATACTTTTCTATTGGTTCACGTGGATCAGGTTGAGACAAGGACTATGTGAGTATAGGCTCTTTTTATTTTTTAATGCGTAGGATGGGGTGAGACTTGAATCCACTTGGTAGGCTAACCACTGTTGAGCCTATTATACTAACCCCAGGTGATGATGCTAGATAAGTGTGGAACAGTTGATGGAATGAGAATTGGTTGCGGAAACTGAAGTACTTGGAGAAAACCCATCCCAGCGCCACTTTGTCCACCACAAATCCAACATGACCATACCCGGGATGGAACCCGGGTCGCCACGGTGGGAAGCCAGCGACTAACCACTTGAGCTATGGCGCAGCCATATAGCTAGTTAGTTACTGTGCACCCTGTGTAGGAACACATTCATAAACACACTCTAGTATGTCATAGAAAGTAAATGATGTCATTCAAAAGTTATGAAACCTCCTTGCACAAGTTACTTATAAGAATCTCTAGAGTGCTTCTTTGTTACCTACAAAACACATGAACAGAGTCCATCCATTATTAGGTTGAATTCTCACCATCCCAAACCTGCAAGCTTTGGCCATATCAGATATACAGAATTCTGTATGGTTTTATAGAACACATGTTACATTTCCCATTTAAGAACCATATGGCTTACATCATGACAAATTCAGGTGGCTCTTGGAAGAACCACGTTCATTGCTGTTGAGATTCTGGTTTTTAACTGTAGAACTACCCTGACATTGAGATAAACTGTCATCTATAATTGTGCCATGTATAAGTGTATTATTTTCAATAGTATGGTCTTTAACATTATATTGCTCTGTAACACTTTCTTTTGTTTCTGACAACTGAGTCTGGATACTGCAAGTTAGACTTTGATTCTGGTGGCCAATATCCAGGTTCTGAGATGGATTACTGACATTTTTCTCTTTAACTTGACACTCACAGTTATTTACTACACTTTTAGGCATACTACAGTCTTTCTGTTGACTTTTATATGTAATATTTTCTTCTTGAACATCCTGCCCATAATGTAATGGTTTTGAAGATAAGTGTGAACTTGAAGTGGACTGTTCAGTGAGAAATAATTTAGGGCATGACCTGCAGTGTTCTTGTTCTCTTTGTGAACCATGTTCACCAGCCTTGCATAGTTTTTTACCCAGTACATCATACTTATGCTGGTTTACAGTCTCTTCAAGCATATGATCTTCACAAGTTACAACTTCACTTTTGTTCCTTACTAGAGGAAGAATATTTGTACACGTGCTTTTATTCAACTGATCCGAATGCCTTCGTCCAGTCTCATCTCTTCTCATAACATTACTGATAACACAAGTTCTAACAGTCTGATCCACAGCTGGTGCAACTGTACCTGTACGGTACATACTCTTTGATTCCTGTCGTTTCCTAGTTTCACTTGGACTGGTATTTGTGTGCAAGAAGTCTGCTTTATGAGTGTCTACTGTGGTATCACTACTAGTAACACTGGTTGATACTTTACAATCCTTGCTGCTAGTAAACTGGGACCCTGTTGGGTCAGATGCCCCCATGGCTTGAAGCAGCTCCTGCTCCCATGCCGATTCTTTTTGCTCCCTCTCCCGACGTGCAAGTTCCTGCTCTCGGTTGTACACGCGAAACTGAGGAAGATGTTGAATATAACTCCCATCCTAACACAGAGCAGACAATCTACGATACAGACAATGTAACATAGGAACAAATCTGCTTTGACATATTTACTCTTGGTGAAGATAGAAAGCTGATTGTTTATTAGCCAGTTTTCATTCAGAGATCAAAAGTTATCTATTTTTGTCATATAATTGTATACTGTTCATCTGTGAAATACATGGTACAGACAAACTTCGATGAAATTGTACAGACAAGAAAAACTTGTGGAGAATCAGAGCTAACCAAGAACAGGGAGAATTACACACAGTTCCTGATCTGGTAACTGACATTAAAATGAGGATTGGCTGGGATATGGGATCGCAATGGATAATATAGAAGTGGCTAAGAACATTTTTCAGCAGACAGCAGAAGAAGATGTGAAGGTTTAGACTGAGATGACGCTGGAAGATGCAGAGACTGATTTATGGGAGATGAAAATGGAGAAATGGAGGCAAAAGGTAAATAATAAAGAACAGACCACTGCTGTAGAGATGGTCTAGGCACTTACAGACAATCGAATCAAGGAGTGAGTGAGTGAGTGAGTGAGTGAGTGAGTGAGTGAGTGAGTGAGGTACTCTTTTATCTGTCTCACATTGCACAATAGGAATAACAATCTAAAATATAATTATTACTAAAAGAAAAAGTAAAGCTATCCCTGTACCAGGCCGTGAAGGCCTATAGGGTTGTGAGACGTTGAGGGTTCCACATTATCTAGACAATCAGCTCATAGATGGTGGTAAGGTTGTCAGCCTTACGTGCTAGCCCCGCTTTACTCCTCAGGAAAATTATTTAATTAATTCCTGGTACTCATTTCTATTAGAGGCTGAGTCGACCCCAGGGCCATAGTGTGGCTGGAAGGATTAGGTCAATTGAAAAAAATCCAATGACCTCATCAGGACTTGAACCCGCAATCTTCCAGCTTGTAGGATAGCCCCTCAACCAACTACTAAAAATTTTAGAATGCAGTATTCTGGGATGTAAAGCAATGTAGTCTGGTAGATGGTTACCAGTGTTTTTGGGGGGGGAGATACTGCCTCCATCTTCAGTGTAGAAGTTGTATAAGAATAGTGAGATCTACTAGGGTACACAGAATTACATCCCAGAAAACAGCAGTTTTAATATTCACTGCTATGAGAACCTCAAATCTGAAGTCTAGATAAGTATATTTACATCAAAATAACGTCTGAGGACTTATGAAATAATTTGAGATTAACACATTTATTCGTCTGCTGATAACTCACCAAATCCACACTGGGTGAACCTTGCATTTCACGTAGTGAACGTTGCTTTGCAAGCCGTTTCTTCTTTTTATGCAAAGGCCGAGTCTCTACAATCATTTCTTCCAGTTCAAATGTGGGGTCACAATTCAGATGGTCCCGCTGAGGAAAGGAATGTATATCAACTGAATCAGTTAATTTATAACATTTACTTTTCAACTAATACAGTTCTCATGATTAAATCGGAGTGGATTTGATGTGTGGGACGTGTTGTACACGTGGGGAATATTGAAAGTGCAAATGAAATGTAGACAAGAAAAACTAAATGTAGATGCAGATAATATTAGCACAGAATGTCAGAGAAATAGTAAATGGAAGGATGTACTGACTTCAACTGGCTAAGGAGAGAGTCCAAAGAAGATTTTATGAACATGGTACTGAACCTTACAGGTTCCACAAGAGTAGGGAACTTCTTGATCAACTGAATAACTATTAGTTTTTTGAGTCCTGGCAGGGAAAGAGCCTTTTCTCTTCCCCATTATATCCAGATTGGCTCTGGGGCTTACCCAGCCTTCTGTGAGATGAGTACCAAAATAGCTATCCCTTTGGGTAAAGTGGCAGGTGTTTGAAGCTGACCACTAACTCCATCTCATGCCAAGGTCATGAATGGTGGAGCTATATCTCCACTCCCTGTATGCCTTCATGGCACAGTGCTTAATTACATAAAGTACAGGGATAATTTACCTTTACCACACACTATGCAATCAGTTTATTAATTGTTCTGTATTGTAACAGATGGGCTAAATCAAGCAATACTGATGCAACAAACCAATAGGGACAGTATTAAACAACTTACTGGTGGTGTAAAGGATGGTTTGATAAGTTTCTCCAGCACAGATTCGAAGTTAATATCATGAAGGCATTTCACTTTCCTGAGTTGTTCCAAAGAACTTATTCTACCTTCAGGTCTCACACACAACAGCTGGAAAAAAATATTGTGCCATAACCAATCACAATTTGAAAGTAATAACAGCAACAATAATAATGAATCGAGAAGAACAAAACTGACAGGCTGTATAGCACAAATAAAGGAAATAAGAATTTTATTTTGGATCAATCTACAAATTTACCTTTACTCATAAAGCCCAGTTCAAATTTCACCTAGGGGACTGGCTATAAAACAAGATTTTATGGCTATTCTCATGTTCCCCTCCGAAAATGCTGGGATAGTACTTTGAAGTAGGTCATGATCATTTCCTTCCACAGTCATTCAAATTCTTCATTCTTAGTCACCAAATTCTATTCACTTATAATTTGAATATATATAATTCTAGAAAATGACTCATTAACATAAATTAATTAAATAAACTCATATTAAAATTCAAGACATAACAGATTGGAGAAGCGGGTTATTTATTTATTAATTTATTTATGGTTTATTTAATGATGCTTTTAATACCTCAGATTATATTGTGACGAATGATAAGATGATTAATCAGTAACAGACTGGAAAGAATGTGAAAGGAAGCAGGGGTAGTCCAACTTGCAGCACTATCCCAGCATCTATCTGAAGAAACTGAGGGAAACCTCACTCAGAATAGCTGTATTTCAGGTCAAGATCCAAGCCTGAAATCGAAAGTTGAATGAACAAAATCAGCTCTTAATTTGGTATAAGAAATATATGAAATTGCAGTCTGCATATGAACTTAAAAAAACACTTACCCTATCAATGAGATCAACAAATCCATGGCTCACTTTAGAGGACCTTGGATAGACTGCACCAGCAGCAAACAGTGCCCGTACTTCACTCACTGATGTGGCTGAGTGGATGTCAAATGGACGTACACCATAAAACATTTCATAGGCTACAATGCCCAGTGACCACCAATCCACAGGGAAACCATAGCCACTACATTCATCTGCTGCACATTCAAATATCTCTGGGGCTGGACATGTATAATAGAAAGAGACAACCCATTAGAAACAGTGTTTCAGTTTGCTTTACAGTGGGAGACAGCAGTATACATAATTTCATCTCATGACAAGAAGAGGTTGTGAAAGTCAATTAAAAGAAACTTATTTCAGTTACTGAGATTCACAACTCATCTCCTGTATACATAAATAATAATCCTTTCATCACAGAATTTCTATTTGCAATCAATTTGAAACAGTGTTTGGATCTTGTGAACACAGTAATGACATTTCAAAATATTTAAAACACAGAGAAATCAATGAGTAGATAATGGTCTATTAGCTTCTCTAGAAGAGTCTGTAACAATATTTTGTCAGAAATGATATTTCTGTTCAACATTTCAGCAGGTGATTTTAACCCATGAATGTCACCTCAGTTTCAGACTGCATCATCATTTTTCTCCACTGATGTTTCCATCCCTCCTGCCTTCTCCATGTTCTCTGTAATGCTATTCTCTTTTGTATACCCCTCCCTTACTTGCTTCATCTTCCTTTTGGTCTCCCTAAAACTGTGACCTGACTTCATGCAAAGGCTACAGAACATCTTTAGTTTATTTCATGCTACTCTGTTGGTAACATACCCATATAGGGCTTTGTTCCCGACATGGATGTAGCTAGTTGGCTGTTCTCCAGCACTGTTGCAATGTTGAAGTCAGTGATGTGAGCATGACCTAGAAAAAGAAAACGCTCCAGTTATGTTTCCAAATTTGTGTCCTCACTTGATGAGGTCCGACTGAAGCTGCTTTATGGATGACCCTCAGTCATCCTGCTCATTATTATAATTATTTAATACTGTGTTATATCATGGATTTATTGAGATGAAACACAGCTTAAGAATTTTGTGAAATGGTTACCAGAATTGAGAATTTCCCCAGGAGTAAAGCGGCAAAAGCGTGAAGCTGACTACTCTCTTCCATCTAGTGCTGAGGTCAAGAACGGTGGAACTATACTTCCACTCCCTCATATGTCCTCATGGCGTGGTGCTTAACCATTTAAATACAGGGACAACTTTACCTGTACAGGCCCCAGGTTAGCAAGAACCAGTCCATTTGTTTCACTAAGTATAATGGTAAGTGAAACAGAAAAATTGGCAGGTCCCGCAGTCACTCTGTCATGAAGATGGAAGGATGATCTCTGGAACACTGGATGCAGGGCTGCCCTTGCAGCATTGGTGGAACAAGTGGCTGGTTGGGGAGCCTCATTTTACAAACCATCTTTTCGTTTTGTTGTTGTTGCTGTTAAGTGGACTTTAAAATCTGTTGCTCTTTTGTTCATATCTTGACCATTAATTGACAGTAATCTAAACATATGTAAATAAAACCGTTTTAAGAATTATGATATCAATGATGGTTTTCCGCAGACCCAGATGGGATTTGGAGANTGTGACTGGGGTGAAGTTTTATAAACGTTGATTTCTCCTTAACTGAGGGGGTGGAATTTCTCATCTCTTAGAGGCAGAATTCAGGCTAGAACCAGCCCAGATTTCATGAGATGCAGAAAGCATTAGGACTACAGCACTGCACATATGAGAATGTTGATTGCAAAGTATTTCCGTGCTGAAATGTTACATAAAAACAAATACGAAAGAGATAAAATAAAGAAATATGGGAACTCAGGGGAAAGAAAGTAAAGAAAGAGAGAAAATAATAAAGGAAATAAAAGGAAATTGACCGAAAAATGAGAACGAAAGCCTCTCAAGTAAACTGCTTCATCAAAATCTCTTTTATATTGGCTCAGTGAAATGGTTGAGGATAATGAAGAGTGAATGGGTTAATTCAAGAAAATACCATGCAAATAAAATGAAAATAATGACAAAGTTATTCCGTGTGGAAGCGAGTTATAATACCTCCACAGTAGTTCTACGAGTTGAAGAAGGCGAAGGAAAGGGAACCTGATGCCTGTGGGTATAACTGGGCCACCCTGTCACTGGGGGCATAAATATAGTCTCGTCCTCCACGTCAGGAATTGGATGCAAGGCCGACAACATTGCTCCGTAAAACAAATATTGTTGCTAATTCCAAGGCCGTAAACTAAATATGGACTTGATTATAGGCACGTGGAATATCTTATCGTTATACAGACCCAGAACACTTTAAATGTTATTGGCCCAAGTAGAACTGTAACTGAGATGGGATGGAATGGGCAACGATGTTGAAATGATGATGATGATGATGGGCAATGTTAGAGCCAACTAATTAGAGGATTAAGGATAACCGATTAAAATGGCTTCAGAAAGAAAAATTAAAATTATTCCCAACTAAAATAATTGTAATGAGTGGTCCAGTAATCGCAGTTCTCTGCTTCTGTCAGACATACACTCAACAGATGTAAAGGAGAAATAGAAATACTTTCCATTGCACTTGTGCAGCTTATGTTTCGGATCTAAAATAAGTAAATAAGTATGAAAAAAAACATGACAAGAAATAAACACGGGGAGAAGAAACGAAATAAAAAGAAACAACAATGAGAAAGACAAACAGAATAAGAGGATTGAAGTGAAAGACAAGAGAATGAGAAAGACGACAAAGGAAGACGAACTGTCTTCTTCTTCTTCTTCTCCATCTTCATCATCATAGAATATTTTGCTACCGATCTCTGTAGCTAGACTATATAACTTCGACTTTCAGGACGATATACTGAAGAGGATTTGGAAGGAGACAGTGCTGAGTTGACTGTACTATTCAGAGCTTCGTCTAGAGAGATTGGGGAAATCTAAAAGTCTAACAGGACAGTTGGTAAACCGTCTGGTACTCGTACTGGGTACCTTCCGTACAAAATTCCAGAGCTATAGGGCTACATCAACTTGCTTCAAGAAACTGCCGTAGAGAATTCTGTTTCTGAACAACCTGTAACTGAACGCTCTAAATCAATAGCTACAAAGAAATCATATTTGCTGTTGGTGAAGAGCGAAGTCTGGCCAAAATGCTTTAAAATAATGCAGCTTCTAGGATTGGGACGAGTGAAATATGGGGCACCTATCTGAACCCTATTGACATTACGAAGTCAGAGACGGCTGGTAGGGTTTGGCCTGTAGCAGAAGTCAGTTGTGTCTGGTAGGTTCGGTCTGTAGCGCGTTGCAGAAGTTTCCTCACACTCTCAGACGTAAAACTCAATGATCAACGGGCATTCTGTCTGGTAATTGTGAAGATACAGTGTTTTCTGTGAGTAGGAACTGAATTTTTAACTATTATTTTGATAACGTTCGGCTTACAAATCGCATCCTAACGCCATGTACTTAAACTGAATCTTGTTTATATACAGAGTATAAATAAATATACAGTGTTATTCAAAAAGAATGAACCGATTTTATTACGCAATATTTTATTAAAGGAAAGTAATACAAAACTCCAGCCAAGTCACAAGTATTCTACTCACAATCAACTTTTATTTCCTGTCTTACAAGTGTTCAATGTGGCCACCACCTGCAGCACGGGCAACATCAATGCGATAAGAGAATTCCTCCCAGGCGCGTATCAGCATATCACGATGCACTGAGTTAATCGCTGTTGTTATTCGATGTTTAAGGTCATCGAGGTTAGTGGGTAGCGGTGGAACATAAACGTGATCTTTTACATATCCCCACAAGAAGAAATCACACACGGTGAGGTCTGGGGATCTCGCAGGCCAAGCACAAAGAGCAAGGTCTTGGGCCCCCTTCCGACCAATCCATCGCTGGGGCACTTTTTCATTTAAAAAAGCTCGGACCATCAGGTGCCAATGGGGCGGTGCTCCATCTTGTTGAAAAATGAAGTCATGCGAATCTGCTTGCAGTGAAGTGAAGAGCCAGTTTTGGAGCATATCGAGATAGGTTTGTCCTGTAACGGTGTTTCCTTCAAAGAAAAAGGGACCATAAACCTTGTCCTGAGACACAGCACAGAAGACGTTCACCTTAGGGGAATCTCTTTCGTGCTCAACTGTTTCATGTGGGTGCTCTGTTCCCCAAATACGCACATTGTGACGACTGACTGTGCCGCTCAAGTGAAAAGTCGCTTCATCACTAAAAATTAAACGTGAAATGAAGGTTTCGTCTTCCATCATCTCCAGCATCGAATCGCAAAATTCCATCCGCTTCCTTTTGTCGTCATTGGTAAGTGCCTGAACGAGCTGCAGTCTGTATGGTTTCAAATGTAGACGTACTGTTAGCACACGCCAGACAGTGGATTGAGGGATCGCAAGCTCACGGCTAGCTCGATTTGTTGACTTCCGCGGGCTCCTCTCAAACGCAGCACGGATTCTCGCCACTTGTTCCTCCTTGACTCGTGGTCGTCCTGGACCTTTTCCTTTACACAGACACCCACTCTCTTGAAACTGTCGAAACCACCGTCGAATGTTCTTAGGACAGGGCGGATTAATGCCGAATCGCCTTCGAAAAGCACGCTGCACCGTGACAACCGAATTTGTTTTCGCGAACTCCAGAACGCAGAACGCCTTTTGCTCAGGACTCGCCATTCCGAGGGTAAACGAACAACTGAACGTTGCCGGAAGAACGACGCGACTTCAGCGCCCCTGTGGCAGCCATTCACAACTTAGATAACTCCTCTTTCAAATGGTCACTGACTCATTCCATGACGATGCTTGAGAACTGAAGCAATGTGTCATGAAATCGGTTCATTCTTTTTTAATAAACCTGTATGTTACAACGCTCTGTGGTAGACAGACGGGTTCAATCTGGTCATATTTTGTTATTACACCAATGTCCAGAAACGTTCTGTTTACGCTCTAGGGCCTCTGAAATATGAAATAGGACGCCCTTACCTCTTACCTCTGTGACTTATTGGTGATATGTACCTAACATTTCTCCAAGAGGTCTTGTCCGAGCTGCTGAAAATGGTGCCTTTGGAAGTCCATCGTGAAATGTGGTTCCAGCATGATGGCGCTCCGGCACACTTCACTAACATCGTCCGTGAGTATTTTGCAATAGAATGGTTGGATGTAGAGGCCCAATAACCTGGCCCCTTCGCTTCCCTGGCTTTCTTTCTCTGGGGGTACATGCAAAGACCGGTGTACGAGACTCCAGCGGAGACACAGTATGATATTGCGGAAAGAATTGCAGTAGCAGCTGGAACCATCCGGGAAATGCTGGGAATCTTTAGAAGAGTTCAGCATAACATGGCCAGGTGCAGAACATGCAATGAAGTCGATGGCCACCATTTTGAGTAACTTTTATAATGTAAAACAACGAAAACTTATGCATCCTACCAGAAAATTTTAGGGCTCTTACAACCAAAAAGAAGCGTTTCCGGACATGGGTGCAATAATAAAATATGATCAGATTGAACCCATCTATCTACCACGTATAATAACAGGGCACGGGCTGGGCAATGACGAATCAGGGTTCAATTCACCGTAAGGACGAAAGAATTTTTTTTTCCTAGCGTTCCGACCGACTCTGCGGCCCACCCACCTTCCTGTCCAACGAGTACCATGGGCTCTTTTCAGGGGATAAAGCGCCAGGGACATAATGCTTACTCCATCCAGTGCCTAGGTTAAGAATACATGGAGCTATACCTTCACTCCCCACACATTTTACAGTGTAGTTAAGCACAAAGACAACCTTACATCTTGGTGGTCTTTGGGGTATCTATTTTCAAAAATTTAACCCAGTTTATATATCATCTTGAAAAGTCTAAATTAAGTGGTGTGCAAAAAGGTTTAAGAATGTTTTCTTTGTTTGAAGTGCATATACACGGAGGTGTGTGCAAGACATAATGCTTTGGAATCTCTCTTTCATCTCCGGAGGCAAGTACCGAAAGGACCGTCCCACCATCTGGAAACCAACTTCACTTCAGCGGTTCACAGAATCCTACTGTAACGGGATCTTGAGAGTAAGTTCATGAAAGCGTGGGAGAAAGAAGTGCAAACAAAGGAAAATCAAATATGGGCAAAAGGAAGAAAACGCCAGCTGTAATGTGAGTGAAGACGCAAAAGAAATGTAACCACATTGACCGAAGACACTCACCTTCCTCGTCTAGCAGAATGTTGTCTGGTTTGATGTCTCTGCAAAAGAGAAAGGATTATATTAAATTGGAAAGCTTTTTGAGATAAGGCGCACCAAATATCTTGGGAAATTCAATGTAATCTTCTGGGTTCTTTTATTGAAAGGAGATTCAGGCGTTTCAGAGGAACCTATTGCCTCCATCTTCAAAGTTAAAGTGACGAGATCTGAAGGGAATTTTTTTTACCCTTGGAATTTTTCATTCATTTAAGTGCGCTTTTTTTTAAGGACATCCAGACTGAAGGATACGGCGAGTTTTATACACTTTTGCTTTCAAGGACGACACTGCACAAAGGATATCCATTTCTGCTTTTTAACTCTGCGTTGTTATGTATGCGTCCTTCTTGTGTAAATGGGCAATAACCCGAAGTCATAGTTAATTCGTTTCGACGAAAGTATTAAATTTTATTTAATAATTATGTAATTATAAAAATATTTTATAATTATACATGTGAAGTCTGTGGTTCTGACGGAGTTGACTCTGAAGATTGCTTTCTTCTGAGATTTGACGCCGTGAAATCTGGTAAATCTTTACCAACGTTTCGGAAGAACCGTATAAAATGAAGGCAACAGGTTTCTTCGAAACGTTGGTAACGATCTACCAGACTATACGGCGTCAAACACTCGAATACAGTTATTTTCAGTGACCATACAATTTTTCAATCCATCAATAATTTCCATTATAGTACATGAAATAATATACACAATAACCTATATTTCTTACGTGAAAAACATTTTTTTTCGTGAGCAATACTTACGAAGGTACAAGGTAAGGTAATATTATCCCTGGGTTTAATTAATTAAACACTGCGCCATGAATACGTATGGAGGATTCGGCACTGATTTAAGGTGAGTGGACAGCTTCACGCCCCGGCCTCTTTACTCCCAGGGAAACAGCCCCCGGTACCCTTTGTGTAGGAAGCCAGGTGGGCCCAAGAGCCAGCATGGAGCCATGCAGAAGAGAAGAGAATGAAAAATCACAATCAAAAATAGTTCTAAAACAATACTTGAAAACACATTCATTCTTCTGTNGCCGACTGAGCTATCCCGGCTCCCTACGAAAGTACAAGATCAAATCGTTTCTGAATCTATGAAGTGTGATTAGCTTTTCAACAACAGGCTTGTGCCTGACATAAATGAACATCAAAACCAAATCAATCAGTTACTTTAGGTTTGTAAAAATATAATTTCCCTCTCTCTTTTGTTGCGTTTCCTCTTTTCCTACTGCGACCCGAATAGAGAACAGCAGAGGTATTACAGCATGTGCTCCGGGCTATTGCTATTACGTGTGCATACAATGCCTCCCCCCCCTCCCCAGTTACAGCTTTGGGCAAGCATTGGGGTATATTTTTTTGGATAAAATTCGCATTTACATTCTCAAATCTCTTTTTAATTACGTGAGTGTGCTTTAATTTCGGGGAGTCGCTGTAGATCAGTCGGCATAGCGACTAAGCTATGGGTTGCATGCTCGAGAAACTCACGGTAGGGGTAAAGATTTCTCTCTTTTTCGCGGCATTCATACAGGTTCTGCTACCCATCCGTACTGGCATCCAACGGGTACCTGACCCGTGAAGGCTGACAGTCACCTTCATGTAGTTCCGAGGTTAAATACGCATGGAGGTAAACCTCCACTCCCCCATACGTCTTCATGGCGTCATGCATAATTAGCATAGGTGGAAATTCGTACCTTAATTTCCGAAGAAAGGTTCTATCTTATGAGCTGTAACGCCGTGTAGTCCGTTGAAAAACCAACCAACATTTCGGAGGCATAAATCGCCTCCATCTATAGGATCGAAGACTAACCAAACATGGAGCCAGCGTCGCCTGCTTTCACGTTGGTTTCTTGCTTGGCCTCTTCGACACTGAAGATGGAGGCTACAAGTTTCTCCGAAACGTAAGTTGACTTTCAACGAAATCACGGCTTATATATCAGAAGATAGAACTTCTTGTAACCACCGCTGTGAACACCTCAGATCCTTCAACTACTTACGAGTAGTTTACATGTAATTTTTTCTCTAAATTTGTTCTAAAATTGTGACATAGATACGGAAAGGAACCATATTGCAGGCGAATAACGGGTAATTGTAAGATATTAAAAAGAACATGTTTAGCTTGTCAGAACGTAGTGTGATTCTCCGTAAACATTAATATAAAATATACAGTAACTGGTAATGAACTGCAAGAGATATTTTTATATGAAGCGTAGTGCTACTGTGACCGCCTCTGTGGTCTAGTGGTCAGAGTTCCTGGCTACAGATCCAGAGGTCCGGGTCTGGAACAGGGTCCACTCAGCCTCGTGGGGATAATTGAGGAGCTATTTCAAGGAAATAGCTGCTCTGGTCTAGAAAACCGAGATTAAAGGTCGTTGGGATTCGTTGCGCTGACCACGCAACACCCTCTATCCGCTAAAGTTGGCACTAACTTCGCCGACAAGCGGCGGTGGCTCGATCGGTATAGTTTGTTTGCGGGCTAGAACTACGGAGTGCTACTATAGGGAGCGATAATCTTGAGCCTTGCGAAGAATACATAAAGCCCAAATCGCTAAAGAAGTCGTAAATAGCACGGATCTGCAACTACTTTCTTGGCAAAAACAATTCACTATTTATTCTACAGTGACTGTGCAAGCACACTATACCAGTTGACAATATGCCTTGAACTGATGATATGCTACTGCAGAATATTAGTAGATGTGTCTGTTTCCTCCCTTTTTACCTTCCTCACCCTGCAAGTCTCAAGTTTAGAATCTCTTAGAGTAGAGAGTTATGTAAGAATTATGAGATATTCCACGATAGAAGCTCTGCCTGTTGTTAAACATTAGTCTCATAATTCTTGCACAGTGTCTAGCGCTCACTCACTCATGGAGCTGAACCCTTCTTGAGGAGCCGTGAATTCTGCAGCTACTCAAGAACTTCGCAGAATTTTATGGAACCCGAATGTTCATTATCGTGTTCACAAGAGCCCTCTACCGGTGTCTATCCTAAGCCAGGTATATCCAGTCCATACCACCCCATCCTATATCTCTAAGATCGATTTTAATATTGTCCACCCACCTACTCCTTGGTCTTCCCAGTAGCCTCCTTCCTTCCGGCTTTCCCATCAATATCCTATATGCATTCATCCTCACTCCCATGCGTGTTACATGCCCTGCTCATCTCATCCTCCTTGATTTGATCATTCTAAGTATACTTGGAGAAGAGTACAAGTTGTGAAGCTCTTCATTATGACTGTCTAGCACTAGACATTTCATATTCTGATGTCTATTGCAGTTAATTTCCAGTTAACTTAACGGTACGCTTACAGCAAATCGCAAGTTAGCTTGACAGGCTAAATTAGTTTCAGTTTGAACATCAAACCCCCCCCCCCCAATCTGTGGTACTGCTTTGTATCGTCTATGTCAGAAGCAACCTAAAAACCTCTTTTGCTGTTTGCTTTCCAGGTTGTGCTAAGTTTCGCAGAACATTCTCCTCAATTTCCGAAATCCTTCGGCGGCCATTAATTCTCGCACCATTGCCGTCTGGCTCTCCCTATATCAGCAATCTTCCTCCTTCGACGGCTAAGAAGTTAATTTAGGTAAGTTTCGCCTTGTGCCACATAAAACTCACGTCTAACTTCCGGGCAACATAAGTCGGGCAAATTGACGACTTTTTGATTAATGCTTACAGCTTCTGCTTCGATAAATCCAGAACTGAACCGTAACAAAACTTAATTTGAGGAGGATTTTGCAGTTACGAAGACAAATAAATAAAAATGAGAGAAAGAAAGGGTGGGAGGAAATCAGAGTAACAACGTAGTGACATGTGATTTGAGTTGAACATTTTTTCTTTATATCATAAAGTCATTATGGTGCTGCGTGACAGTGCGCCTACAGGACGCAACACACACTGCTTGCAGATAATACTAATTCCGTCGGTCGATGCAATTCTCTGCTGTCAATGGTAGTCATTTGCATGAAAAATATGCTCGGTGTAAATCTCTGTCGGGACGAATATTCTAAGTTGCGTGGTTTTACTCGGTCCCGCCAGTTAAATTGTGGAATAATACGCCGAATTAGTTCACGACTGCTTCCGCCCTCATGGTTTACAGTTCACTGATCACTCTCATCAAATTATTCTATGCTGTGTTGTTGGAATTCTTGAAGATGTCGTTGAATAAAATACTGTCACGTGATAGAGTGATTATAGACGCGTTTTGGATTGATGGTCGGATTTGTCGGCCTCTCTCATACACCATGTGACTACACTTTACATTCACATACATATATATCAGTGTCCACGGTCATATCTTCGCTGCCGTTGCTTGGTAGCGGCTTCCAACGACGGACATTCCCCTTCCTCTGAGCTCCCGAACTGTCCCCGACTTCAGCTACCATGTTCTCACAGCAGCATCTCACGACAACTGAACTCACCAACCAACTCTATACAGTGGAACTTCGCTTAACGAGCACCTCTCATAACGAGTAATTCGCATAACGAGCAAAACAAATTGTAAAGAAATGACTCGCTTAACGAGCGACGTTTCGCATAACGAGTGACGAGAGGGGAAGTCCCGGATTGTGCACTTGCTACATCAGTCTGTGTTTAGCGCTCGTTCCGCTAGCATCTTAGTGTCGCTTGTGATCACACATTTTTCCAAACTTTTGTTCAGACATATTATTTGTGATTCTTTTTTTGTGCAAAGTTTAATAGCCCTTGCAAAAATGTCCCCCAAAAAAGCCTCAAAAAGACAGCCATAAGAGAATAAAAATAACTGTAGAAATGAAACATAAAATCATTGAAAAGTGAGAACGAGGTGTGAGTGTGGCTGATCTAGCACGCACATACAATCAGTCTACATCAACGATTTGCACGATTTGGAGTTGCATTGTGTTTCACAGCAAGAAGTTGTGGAGGAGAGTTTCTCAGAGGAGGAGGAGGAGGTAACAGCAAAGCAACAATCTTCTGGCGCAATAAGAGAAATGCTGAAAGCATGGGAATCTGTTGCATCGTACATTGAGAAGCATCAC